TATACTATACTATACTACTATACTACTACTACTACACACACACACACACACACACACACACACACACACACACACACTACTACTACTACTACACACACACACACACACACACACACACACACACACACACACACACACACACACACACACACACACACACACACACACACACACACACACACACACACACACACACACACACACACACACACACACACACACACACACACACACACACACACACACACACACACACACACACACACACACACACACACACACACACACACACACACACACACACACACACACACACACACACACACACACACACATATATATACGCTTCTGCCTATCTCATATTGGTGTTAGACTTATGCGTCATATGTTCTCATCCGACTGTATCGCATGCACTGGCACGCATATGTGCATGTATGTACACACAGGTGCACTTCCATTGCTATACCATGGCACCTTTTGATACCCACATCGTATTCCATTTTTCGATTGAACAGGCCCCTTTTGTAGATTATCTCCAGACGCCGACGCTTGCCGTGGTGACATATCTGTCTCCTTACATACCTTCAATTCTGCTGACCTTTTTGGCAACAGGGTTGAATGCAGTGTTCCCACTGGAGGCTCTGTTGTTTGTTATCGCTGCACACATGATTTCGCTGAAACTATTCGAGATGATGGATCACGAGGAAACGGAAGGCGTGGCTAAGGTATGCTAGTGTATGAACACAGTATATGAGGTGCAAGTGAGTTGATTCTCTTACGGCTACTAACTTCGACCGCCGTTGTCACTCAACAACGACTGTTCATTGTCTAGTTAAAATACGTCTGTGAAGTGCCTATGTACACTCTTTTTACTCGTTCATATCGAATTTTCTGATATATGCAATCGAGTATAGAGGCGTTGCGATTTCATCGAATACCTATTCACCTGCTATGTCTTTTCCTGTAAAATGCAGCACAGCGCGATCAGACCATAGTAGATCTTTTCGCTTATATTGATGCCGGTTTCTTTCTATTGATCGAACTCACCACACTCATATTAAGTATTTGGCTTTCGTTACTCATGTTGTCATATTATGCAAATGCTAGACCGTCATCTTAGGAGGCAGTATCTGTAGCTGCGTAGCGTCCGTCTGCGTGCTAGTATTTCTATTCACGCACTGTGAAGTGTCGGCATCCTCGGGGCTTTTCATTGGTTGCTCTTTATCCGCTGCTTTGGGCTTGCTGGTTTCGTCAATATACGTAGATGAAGGTAAGGATAGTTTCTGTGAGCTTCGGAAGTTGTCAAATTTATATCTATATGCATGTGGCTAACGGACATATCTTTTAAGGTACATCAAAGTGCGTCTACATACTCTGGTGAAGGCGTTTGGTAGAAATTTCACCACGATTGCAGGCACATGTGGTGTGTTCGCGTGCTGTGGCCACTCATCTGGGCTGGATTACGACTTACAAGCAGAGTTATGTCTGGTGCATATTATTCTCATGTTCTTTATTTGGCCACTTTGCGGTTGGTAAACCCATTGATTCGGAGGGTTTAAAATTCTGGTCAATAATTCCAATCATCCAGATTTTCTATAACCATTCTTTTGTCCTGCTGAGACTCTAACCAGATAAAGCGCAGCTGATTTACAACATTTCGACTGAGTGTGAATGACATGCGGATATATAACCCCAATTTGCTACAAACATATGTATACTGCTAGTTTTATATACTATGAGACGCATCGCGTCTTCCCTCTACGGTTCGGGCCGTTCTGAATGCTCGGCTGAGCCTCTCTTATCACGTCCTACGCAGGCATCTTGCTAGATCCGAGCTTGCTTCTGCTGTACACGAGTCTAGTATGTTGGTGTTTGGTGGACGACATGGAACGGGTCGATGATACCTCCGGCGATTTCTCATGGTCACTGACTGGGTATGGATTCTTGATACAGCAACATGCGATGCCTTACTTGACTCATGGTTGTCATCGTTTGTCGCTTGAACATGAAGCTCGTTAGCCCGTAAAGGCTATACGTATTCGAATGCCCAGACTTGCTAGAAGGTGCTTGTGCAAGAAAAAACTTCTTGGCAGCGACGTTCACAATGTGACATTTATGTCGTATAACGCTTTCTGTTCGCATGGTATAGTCACAGATGAACTAGACAGTGTTATTTGTGCGGAAATAGATGCCATTGCATATTAGAGATAAGTTAGATCCAATTGATGTATGCGTAGTCCTGAATTTAAGGCTTCAGGTCAGAATAAGACACTCTCTTCAGTACCGAGAAATAGCTGTTTGAGAACTGCCAGTGTGTTTTATCGTGCACCCGCCCGTTTATATCTTGCACCCACCCATTTATATCTTGCACACATCCTTTTGTATCTTGCACCCACCCATTTATATCTTGCACACACCCATTTATATCTTGCACCTACCCATTTATATCTTGCACACGTCCTTTTGTATCTTGCACCCACCCCATTAATATCTTGCACCCACCCATTTATATCTTGCACCCACCCATTTATATCTTGGACACACCACTTTATATCTTGCACCCTCCCGTTTGTATCTTGCACCTACCTATTTATATCTTGCAAATACATCTTTGTATCTTGCACCCACCCGTTTATGTCTTGCACCTACCCATTTATATCTTACACACACTCGTTTGTATCTTGCACCCACCCATTTATATCTTGCCCACACCCTTTGTACCTTAAACCAACCCGTTTGTATCTTGCACCCGAATTGCAGCCCTCTCAAGTTCTTCCTAGGCTTCTCTGTCGATCGGTCACTGCTGAATATCGCCATATTCGTTGTGCGTCTCCTAAGTCTCTATGTCTTTGGCACCGAGCTGTGGCGAACGGTATGTGTTTGTGCGTACTGTCACACTGCATAAGCTGGCCTGCAGCAGAGCTTCGAAGGCCCTACCGAGCCTGTTTGGTATCCTCCCGAGGACTTCCCTTGTTGTATGAACCCGTAGTTTTAGTAGTTGTATCAATAGTTCTATCTCTTGCCCGAACGCGGTAACGGAGAATCTGGCTCGTTCATGCGCCCATAGCCCGACCTTGTATTGAGTGCATTGGGCTTTGTCACACCAACACCAACTGATATATCATCTCTAATTGATATATACAGCACCAACTGAGATATCATCTCTATTTGATATATACAGCACCAACCGAGATATCATCACCAATTGATATATACAGCACCAACTGAAATATCATCTCTAATTGATGTATACAGCACCAACTGAGATATCATCTCTAATTGATGTATACAGCACCAACTGAGATATCATCTCTAATTGATATATACAGCACCAACTGAGATATCATCTCTAATTGATATATACAGCACCAACTGAGATATCACCTCTAGTTGATATATACAGCACCAACTGAGATATCATCTCTAATTGATATATACAGCACCAACTGAGATATCACCTCTAATTGATATATATATAATATGTTTTGCGGTGTTGATCACTGTTGGACATCGGCGCATTGGTTTCCCAGGGAACTGACGAGGATGAGGCGGACGAGACTGTTGTGGGGCGATTTGCTGGGGACATCAGTGTAGTGCTCCTCTACGCCAACTTGCTGCAAGGTCAGGTGTTTGCCGGAAGTTTTGGTCTTATCACTTTTCAATTTTAATATATATATGCGACTGTTCATTTATTTAAGCACGTGTGTGTACATATATTCAGCGGATGTGCACTACCATAAGCAACACCGTTGTCGCTGATAAGGCCATACAGTCACACGCCACAGTGCTATTTGCAATTGTCATCGACATCAATATTATGCTTATTTATGTTTATACACAAATATTACGTCTATATATGCACAGGTATGCTTACAAGCTGCAATGTACTTTGCTTGTGGTGCACAGTCACCGTTTATAATTCCAAAACAAAAATCTCATTTGTACATGTGGGTTTTGTCACGTATCGGAAGCCGGTTTTGACCATGTATAGTTTTTTTTTGACCATGTATAGTTTTGGTTTGTGTTCATGGATTTTTCTCTGCTACACAATGAAAGGTTTTGGGATTTCAAAATTAGTTTGTACTCTTACGTGAACCGGGTTTTAATACGCAATTCTGCTGTACGACAACGATAAGCAATGTGGCATAGGTAGTGCAGGCATTCTTATGGGGCAAAACAGTTCAGCGTGTAAGTGATAATTTAAACGGAACGTTTTGTGGTAACAAGGGTTGTCAAGTACTAAATCAAAGTTCTCCGACAGTACCCCTTCTGTACGATTGGCTGATGTGTTCCTGTATATCTGATACTCACTTTACCGATATACCGCTGGACGCACTCTACACCATGTAAACACACCCTTGTTTTAAGCTTTCTATTCATATACTTGCTATTTTATCCGCGTGCCCCCTCTACTGCAGGGCTATTCAACCCATCGTTAGTCGGTAACTGGATGGTGCGTGTGCTGCAGAATGTAGTTGCCCTGGGGTTCTATTCGATCATTCTGTTCATGCCTGATGGTATCGAGGCAGACGTGTGGAAAGTAGACTGAGTCACAATACAGACAAGGTCGCTGGAGTGGTATGCGAACAAATGCTCGCAACGGAGAACGGAAGGCACATACAGCCGGCGATGGTCAATACCCTTCAGACAGGAGTCACATATCACCAGTTGACACAATAGTTTGAATACGGAGATGGATGGAGCCCCTGAAGGCAATGGGATATCTTGACGGATTGATGGCCGAGTTCAAGACCAAAGTGCCAAGATAGTTGATGCCAAGTCCCCACAGCAACAGATGCGTGACACTTTTGGCAGGGATAAGTATATTGATACGTTATCCGCGAGATAGGAGACAGATAGGGTTTGTATATCATGTGGCAATGAAAGCCACAAACGTATCATACGTTTAATACTTTGGCAGCGATTGTTTTTGGCATCAGATAGCGGAAGTTGTTGCTAACGACGCTTGCGAAGAAACAGCGTTTATTCACCACAGCAGAGCGTGTAACACTATCATATTGGCTTCGTCAGCATAATAACTGTTCTTGCACGATTCGAAGGATCGTATAGGCCATAGCGAATAAATTCATGTACAAGGACAAATTCTGAACGAGCTGACTTGTTGCCTAGCAACTCGTAACAGAAGGATGCGCTAGCACCGGTCATAGCGAGCTAGGACACTCGGGGCGAAGATCAGAGATTGGGCTGTAGCTTGAGAAGGACACGAGAAAGTATAAAGATGGAAGACAAGCATCCTATCCAAATTGACTACACTGGAAACGATATTAAGAAGTCATAACCAATAGATTTGTCTTTGGGCCACTGACTTGCTTTCTACGTGAACTTACGCAGTGATAAGGGAGGAGAATGGGTTAAACGATTCATATCATACCGACACAAAGTAAAAACTTCAAGGGAGGGCTTTGTCTGTGTGTCTTATGAGGCTCGATGTGATGGAGTGATAGACTTGGGTACGGCGCGCTGCGGGAGGTGTATGTATCATTGGGACACTGCTGACTACAGAAGTGAGGAGTCCCCAGGGGCCCAGTGACCGCTTTTTAAAATAAGTTCCAGTTACCACAAAAGGACCCTGTTGCCACTTACCAGTTACCACATAAGGTCCGTGTTACCACTTACCAGTTACCACATAAGGTCCGTGTTACCACTTACCAGTTACCACATTTCTCATCTGGAATTGCATCACCTGAAAATTTACATAGCCTCCTCATAGCCTCCTAAATTGTACAGCCTCCTGAATGCGATTTTTTCAGGGGAGGCTATGAAATTAACTGATGTACGTATCATACATTCCTACTCTGTAGAATTATAAATTTTAATTTGTAAAAAAAAGGGAGAACGGACAAGAACACTCCCAGCCCCAGACAAAAATTATGTTGTAATTTTTAAAACTGAAACGAAATGTACACGCGGGGGCGTTTTGCGTTGAAACGTAGAAACTTTTGAAATACCGTTCAACGTTTATATCGACATGGCCCGACGGCTGTCACCTTAGGTGCATGTTCATGTTCAGAGCCCTCATTGTCCGTTTATTTCACGCAATCGGCCGATCTATTATCCTGTCTTGTGACCCGTATAAACGACTTAACGTTTGTAAAGCGTTTTACGTCAAACATTTGAAAAAGCAATGTCCAATGGGTGTTCAGTACGCTGTGCCATGAGTCATGCATCAGTGTGGCGAAAAAAGCCAAAGGAGCAAATCAAAATGACGATGAACAAATCGGAAGTGTAGATTTGGGCATCATCGGGACTCTATACTCTCTTGATGAACATTCATATGAGATCAGTCAGAGCCTCTCAGGGGCTAGTTGGGAGCACTCAGCAATTTGAACGATGCATAGGTCATAGATACACACAAGAAGGCAAGAGAAGACCTTCTACACTTGGATACAATTAAGCTTATATATAAACCTGGGCAGGGATTCCTAATCTACAGAACTATCGCATTCACGACTATATCAACTTTACGACAATCGCGGGCGCTATCTCAATATGGACCGTTCATCCTTCCTTCCCTTCCTGTATGTATCTCGTTCAGAGTGTACTCTCAGTGGCGAGTGTAGTGTCTTATATCTGCCCATGAAGTAGTTTCTGCTTGGTTTACATATCGATGACCTTAATGATCATTGCTTCCATGTATTCAGATAGATGATCAGTGTACTTATCACATCTTACACGTGTCTTGTATCATGTACAATGTAAATTGGCTCACTTAGCGGGGCTGAAGAAGCGCGATGCACGCACGAATGATTGTTCTCACTTGTGCTAGATCCGCAATAAGATATAGAGGTACCCGATAATCAGAGGTCTCGTTTGCTTGTAGGCGAGTTGCATGCGACTCGCGTAGACTACAGCGATTTCGAATCTTTTCTTTTCACCCTAGAAATCATCTGGCACCTCTACTACTGGTATCTCATTCTTTTTAGTTAAGGCACAAAGACAACCTACCATTGTTTTGTTGATGTTACTTGGAATTATCTGGTACTTCTACTTCGGTTATCGCATTCTTTTTAGTTAAGGCACAAAGACAACCTACTATTGTTTTGTTGATGTTACTTTACATATATATATATATATATATATACCAATAGATGCATTGTAATCTC